TCAACAATATATGATCAAAATATTGCGTCTTTATACCATTTCGAAATTTTCACCAAGTATACTTACTGCGGAAGTTCCTTAAGTGGTTGTAGTGGCCACGCGGGGAGTTTGGACCAGGGACTTGAAATTTTGGGAATATCCTTTTAATGTGGTCAACAACATATGATCCAAATATTGCGTCTTTATACCATTTCGAAATTTTCACCAAGTATACTTACTGCGGAAGTACCTTAAGCTTTTTTCTGAAAAATCACAAACCCACTTGCATTCGTACTTGACTATCATAAAAGGAGGAAAAATTAGTTTTCAGCAAATTTTGTATAAAATAAAAGATCTTGACCATGAAATACCAAAAAAAAACAAATAATTCTATTTAGAATTTATTTTAGATTTTTATCTTCAAAATTCAAGTTATGTTTATACTCAATACTTCAATCTTCAGAGTGTATGTCAGAAATAAATAATTGAAAATACATCTAAAAACTTACGATGAAAGTCCCAGTATTGTGGTCTTGCGTCTCTTAATTTCAAGTGCAGCCTTGATATGGTTTTAGTCTCTATGACACTAAAAGCAGGCTCATCCCTATACAGGCTATAAGCAGAAGGCGTCAATGTGTCTATGAGGCTCTGCTTATACCACTGTAACAGAGGTAGGTAACGTACGAGAGTCTCCTGATTCATGGGGCGCCAGGTCCTGTCAAATGCTTCTTCTATCATGTGGTGCTTGTATAGTGGGTATCATGGGACGATATGAGAAATAAAATAAAATGAGGTATCTGGTACTGTCTGATTGACGTGGAGCCGTCTGATGTGGAATTACGGGAACCGAATAGTTGCGGAGTTGAGGTAGAGGTGTCCGCCTTACTGATGTGTTTCTCATACTTTTGTTACATGAAGTTTAAAAAAGAAATGAAACCCTCTCCCGAAATTCCGTGTGTGACTGATTCAGTGAGTAATTTTTACGAGGTCTTGAATCTGCAATATATTAAATATAGTCGAACACGAACACGTTTCTTGTACTCCTCGAGATACAAAATTGTTTTGTACTTCAGCGAGCTCTTGTAGTCTTCATACGATCTAGTGTAGATGATCAGCATTAAAAAATTGAATCAACTTTCTGATCATGCATGCAGAGGTAATCCAGGAGTAAAACGTAAAGGAAATGTCTGTGTTCATAAGAACCTGAAATATGAATGAGTGATGAATATAAAATCGATATTGTTCAAAAAAAAGGAACGCATTTTTTTCATCAATGAGGGCATCTAGATTAACGTCCAGTCACGACGCAATATCCAGTGAAAATTCAATATTGCAATTATATTTCTCTGTAACTGAAATATCATCGATATTGTAGTATATAAGTTTATCAATAATCTTCCGAAAAGTAAAATGTGTTTGCAGAATTGCATGACAATCGTGGAAGCGTCCGAGCAATAATTGAGCGGTAATTTATTGAAATTGGAACATCTCATTTAAGAGGGAAGAAGAGGTAGATATAACCTCTCTCTCTCACTCATGTTCTTCTCTTCACACACGTACGCTTACGCACACACACACACAAAGTTACGGGGTTACAGAGGGTTACGTTACCCTCTCCGTGATTATAACCTTCATAGCTCGATTCGATGAACGTGTATACCGAGAGAAGTAAATAAGAGAAAAAACTAGGCACGCTCGGCGTTTCATCGAACTTCTGGAACAGCTCGACTTCCGTTCATGCTACGCTCTGTTATTGTTCGAGCGCCGCTCGAGCATCGTTCGAAATCAGCTCGAATGTCGTCCGAAATCCACTCGAGTGTCATTCGATGCTAATTCGAGCTCCCCCGATGTAAACCGATCAACTCGGTAACGCACGAGCAACTCTCGTGTTTGATCGATATATCCTCGGTCAGCTCGATATTCAGAGTCTATCTACGTTACCGACCGATTGCGACTAAGCGCATGCGCACGCACTCCGATGATACTTGGCAACGCTGCTCTGTTTGTGCCGGTTTGAAAGACAATGCTCGGAAATTGTCCATAACATTCTCGACGGTGCGTTGCTGGAGATGGACGAGAAAAAAGTACCCCAGTTAATAGATGAAGTGCAACGTAGACCAGCGATTTGGAACAAGTCACTGAAGGCAAATCGTTACAAGGCTTTTGTCGGGACTGAATGGGATAAAGTGGCATCAAATATTCATGTGTCAAGTAAGTAAACTTTCGTTTATTCAACATTGAACTCTCACGCGTCTACGATTGACATGAGGTTAATCGAGTGACAATTATCAAACCCGTGCTAGGATAAATCTAACTTATGCATTCAAAACGTCGTTTTATGGAAAAAATTAACTTTTGTTTTGCAAAATCTTCATTTTTCCCAACATCTTCCATTCTGAGATGCGTTTTTTTAATCAAATAATGCAATTCGGACATGTTGGATGGACGAGTTGGGCGCTTAAACTCACAAAATGGCTGCCAAGAAATGTTTCAATTCAAAATTTTCAGTTGACATATGAGGTCTTGTTGAGAGAAATAATGAGACTGAACCTAGCCACTCAGTGGCAAATTAGGAATTTTCGGTCGGGAGGATACTAAATGGCAGCTATGTATTTTCCAGCGTATTTTAATTACACAAACTTGCAAATGCTTGAACAAATACAATTGATCATGAGATCGAAAACTTCTGGATGCAGAATGATCTCAGAGGCTTCGAGAATGTTATGGGGAAAACAAAGTTGTAAAAAACCATTTCCCAGGGTTTTTTTTTGGTGCAAAGGGGAGGACATGGAGAATTTCTAAAGAAAAATTGATGAAAAAATTGAAAACGAATAGTCATTGTTCATAAGATTGGAAATTTCTATTCGGAGAACAATCTTGAGGATCGCAGAAATAGTATGCTAAAAGGCAAAATGTGAGAAATCATTATCTAGTGGTTCACTTTGGAAGCAAGGGGGTGTATTTGGCAAATTTTAGAACGAAAAAATACTTATGAGATCCAAAATTTTTGAATGGAGAATAATCTTAGGGGTACCAGAAATTTTGAGAGCGAGACTAAATTATTGGAAAAAAATGGGGGAAGTAAAAAGCCAAACTGATCAAGTTCCTTGGGAAACATCTATTGCAACATTAGAAATGAATATTAATTGTTCATTAGATCAAGAATTTTCAATTGGGGAACAATTTTGGGGGTATTAGAAATATTTGCAAGAAAGAAAAATGTAAAAAACCATTTTCGAGGGTTTTTTGGGGGATGTGCAGGGATGAACTTGGGAAATTTCTTGGAAGAAACTTTGATAAAAAATTGAAAATGAATATTCATCATTGCTGAAATTGAAAACTTTTGAATGATAAATAATCTTAGGGTTATAAGAAATATTAAGTTGAATGACAAAATGTGGAAAACAATTTTCCAGGGGCTCTTTTGGAGTGGGAAGAGACGGACTTTGAGAATTTCTTGAAAAATAATTATTGAAAAATTGGACATAAATAGTAATTGTTCATGAGATCAAAAATTTCCGTTTGGGGAACAATCTTGGGGCTATTAAGATTATGCCATTATGCCAAAACGCAAAATGTGAGAAATAATTGCCAAGGGGTTTTTTGTGGGGACAGATTCAATAAAAAATGGAAAATAAGTATTTATTATTTATGAGCATTGTCGGATGAAAATAACCTTACGGGTATTAGAAATATTATGCGAAAAGGTGAAATATGGAAAATAATTTCCCAGGGTTTTTTCTTCTGGGTGCGAAGGGGTGGGGTTGAGGGACCTCGGAGAGGAAATTCATTGACAAATTGAAGATAAATATTAATCGTTCATGGAATTGGAAATTCTTGGATGGAAAATGATCTTGGAGGTATGTCGAATATTATGCAAAATGGCAGAATATGAAAAACAATTTCCCTGTGACTCTCTTCAGGTTTCTGAGGGGCAAACTCGGGGAATTACTTGAAAAAACTTTGATAAAAATTAAAAATGAATATTTATTACTTATGAGATGTAAAATTTTCGAATGAAAAATAATCTTGGGGGTCTAAAAAATGTTGAGGGGGGACCCAAATGTTGGAAACAATTTACCAGGATTTTTTTTAATGAAAAATTGAAAATGAATAGTTCATTGTTCATGAAGATATTAGAAGGTTTTATTATTTTCAGGGTATTAGAAATAATAGGCACAAAGGCAAAATGCGAGAAATTATTTCCCAGGGGTTGTTTTGAGTGGTGATCGGGCGGACTCGAAAATGTTCTTTGAAAAAAATTATAGAAAAAATTAAAAATCAATACTTATTACTCATGATATCGAAAGTTGGTGGATGGGAAATAATTTTAAAGGTATTAGAAATTTTATACGGGAGAGCGAAATGCCGAAAACAATTTCCCAAGGGTTGCTTTTGCGGTACGAAAGGGCGGACTTGAACAATTTTTTCGAAAAAATTATTGGAAGATTTTTTAAAAAATTGTAATTTTTCATGCGATCAAGAATTCCTCGTTGGAGAACTTAAGGAAATTGTTTTCAATATTTTGTTATTCGATTATTTCTATCTATATAATAATCTTATTTCTAACATTATTTTCCATCGAAAAATTTTGGATCTCATGAACAATTCATATTTATTTACAATTTTTCGATCATTTCTTTCTGAGAACAGTTCCAAGTTCACTCTTTCGGTCCCCTCAAAAAAATCCTGGGAAATGATTTTTCAATATGCTCGTCGTCCTACAATATTTTCGGTATATTTTTTATATTGGACAATGTTATGAGATCTAACATTGCAAATAAGATTCAAAGAGTAGATTTTTCTCATTACAAAACTTCAAGCCCAAAATAAATGGAAATCTCTTGTTAAGAAATTCAAGGAGGAACATCGGCAATTCAACATCACCGATCGGGCGACGGTCTTGAGGACACCTATGAGTCGAGTTGGCCCTATACCAATCGTTAGGATTTTTATCCAGCTCTGTCCTCCCCAATCAATCAAGTAGAAATTTAGACAGCATTCATGACGTGAAGCCGCCCAAAGATATTAAAGAATCAAATTGTGAGACAGTGCTTCAGAACATGGCTAAAAAACCAGATGGAATTACTGAAGAGATTCTCCGTATACACACAGACAACTGCGCATTATTGGGAAAATCTCTAGCCACCAATGCACGTATAGACAGTGCAGCAGAACAAGACCAGAACAACAGAGCTTTCTTTGAAACTTTGATCCCAGAGCTGAGAAATGTCAGGAAAGAGGACATTCTGCTCTGTCGTAACGACGTGTCGAGGGTGATATTTAAATATGCCTACAAGGATGCTACATGGAAGTCGATCAACGATGGCCCAATGGAAGGAAGTTCTGCAGCAACTAGTACTTCACTATCATCAAGAAGAAAGAGAGAAAGAATAAATGACGATAATGGTATGAAAAGTAACGTAATTGTTGAAATATGAAAGTTGTTATTTCAGATTCTATCATATTTTTTATTCCAGACTGCCAAATTGTAAGTGCGTATCCACCCCGACGATACGTTCAGCCCAATCAATAATAATTGATTGGATATATCTTTCAGAAATGATGCAGCTTGGCTATGACCCCTATTTATATCCTCCTCATTCAGCATGGAGGTCTAATGGCCCAATGTACGAGCAGCACGTACTTCCATACCCTGGACAGCGCCAGGAGTGCCACGGTCAAGTTGGAATGTCGAGGCCAATTCCTGCCCCCAATTCTCACCCTGAATTGATCAACGGACAAAGTTCAGCATACCATGCCTTTCCTGGAGCGGGCCATGTATCAGGACCAATTCTCCCAAGCCCAGCATACACCCAAGGCATTAATCCAATGCCTCCAGCATCCAATCAGTGCCAGGAGTGCCATGGTCAAGGTGGAATGTCGAGGCCAATTCCTACCCCCAATTCTCACTCTCAATTGATCAACAGGCAAATTCCAGCATACCCTGCCTTTCCTGGAGCGAGCCATGTATCAGGACCAATTGCCCCCAGCTCAACAGTCACCAAGACATTAATCCAAGTTTGGACAACGCGACAAGAATGAAACATCTAACTACTCTTATCCCTCCAGTATCCAATCAGAATTGCGTGAGTGGTTCAAGAGGATGGCCCACCATGGTCCTCGCGATGAAGACAAGGAGAACCATGTTCCAAGCCTTCTAAATCAGCAAACTCCTGCGACAAGTTCTAATCTTATCCGTAATAATCACACACCCAATGAACACAGCGAAGAAGCTCAATAGTTTCTCCAGGGGTTCTAGTTTTTTCTTTTTTCTGCATAATTTCAAGCTTAAATAAGAATAAAATGAATTTTAGGTTTTTCAAATGAGTTCATTAAGTAGTTATACATGAGGAGACTTCTATTTGTTAAAAATGATTGATGATTACATATTCGAATGATTTGTGGAAGGGTGCTATTAAACCTAAGTTGAGGTTTAGAGAAAGTAGAGAGAAACTCCAAAGTTCCTTTTATTATCACTTCGGACTTCAAGTTTCTATTTCCCAAAAAGACATTTTGTACATTTTGTAGGGGAATTTGCAAAATTCATTCTGCTTTCGGTTTACTTTGAAAGGGAACAAAACTTTTCAGATTTTTTTTTTTTTCATCTTTTACATGGAAAGATTTTTTTTTTCTTGATGATGAGAATTGAGGGGTGTTGAGTTTTCAATCTAGTTTAAAAGAGAACGAAAGATTCTCAGAATGTTTTCTTTATATTCTTTTATATGCAAGTTCATTTCTGACGACGATTTAATCGTTAATATATTCCTTGATTTTGATTAGTTGTTAAGAATAGCTAGTGAGTTTTCAACTAAATTCAGAGGAAAATATATTTGACAGTTCTGATAGCATTAAGTTTTGTTATTTATTCCTACAGGCAGACACCAAAAGGATTTGTAGATCTCAGTAGGGAGTTATGAGAAAATATTGTGTCATAATTGTAAGTCAAAGAGATCCTAGAAGGTCTAACCAAATTTTTTTCAGTTTATTCTTTTATACTTAGCAAGTACTGCACATTCCATTCGTATAGTTGTTCACAGTTTTTTTCTAGTATTTAATGATTGTTATATCACATACTGAGACTATATCACGAGCATTTGAAAAAAAAGAGTGCATAAAAAAATGGAAATTATCTTCAACTAAATTTTCAGCAAGAAAGGTAGAAGATGACAACAGAAGATTGATTGGCAGAGTCAATATGCCTAATAGGGATACGTTGATGGTTTTTTAATTCCACATTGTTAAAATCATTCTTGTAATTCCCTCAACCAAGAATAAATCCAATAATTTCGATAATAAAATTTATTTTTCATTCATGGGATTCTCAATTTTGTATATTTATGGGCCTACGAATTCCGTATGCGTATTTAGGATTGTGGTAATATTATGCTACTAAAAGACTCGCATGATCACCGTACCTCATTCGTATAGAGTACTAGTACAGTATCCGTAGAATGAGGGGATAGGAAGCTAAATGAAGTACTGGTATTGTACCAGCAGTGCCACAGTATTATGTACTATATAATCCATGCTTCATAGAGTACATCATCCTGGTACCGTACTAGTTCTATCCTGGTACAGTCTAAGTACTGCCGGTTCAGTCGAAGTGAAATTGCAAATTTCCTTGTTTGATTAAACAGTTATCACACTCTTATCGTAATTGTTGAAAATTCATTACGAATGCTTGGCTTCATTCCAACAATCATCGGCAATCGTCTGCTATTCTTTAGAACCTATTAGGAATTTCCTGTTCGAAATGAAAATACATGAGGACTTATCCGCTCGGATCCGAGAGTCAATAGCAATTTTCGGCTGGTATAGGGATTCAGTATTTGTATTTAGAAGGCGTTGGGAACCTCCTTTGAAATTCTCTGCTCCATACCAACAGTCATCGAGAACGTTCGCTATTGTCCAGAACTTATTAAGAATTTTATGCGTGGATCCCACAATCATTTGGAATTTCCGGCTGCTATTCGAAACTCGCTAGGAATTTTCTGCTAGATGCTAAAATGATGAAGAATTTTCGGCATCGATCTGATAGTTGACAATTTCCTGTCAAATCTTGGAATCATTCACAATTTTCTACACCGAGCCGACATTAATGGGAATTGTTTGTTATTGTTCACAAACAGGAATTTCTTGTTCCGATCGAACGCCCGCTCAAACATTACTGTCCTTTTTACTTCAGGATGTTCTTGAATTCCAACATGTAGATAAATCAAACTTAAAGTGGATGTTGGACAACTCACATTCAAAAACCTTTTTTTTTTATAAAAGAAGAGCAGTTTCTCTGGGTTTACTGTTCGAGTATGCTCCTTTCTAATTTTGAAACACGAATAGCATTTTTCTTTCTGGAAAATTTAGTGTTCTTAATTTTTTTTCTCAACAGACATTCAGCTGATCAATCGAAAATGATTGTTCTCAACTCTTTGAACTCATTCTTGCAAGAATGCCTAGCTTGAAGGGTCATCCTTGAAAATTGCATTTTTCGATCAATTTTTCTGTTTTATAGCTATTATCACTTCGTCATCATCGATTGATATTTCTATATTTGCATAACGAATATGCTTCTCTCGTTTCGAATCTATGATGGTATGGTGCAATAGAAATGCAGTCTTTATCGTTGAATTTATTGACTTTTATCTATTTTAGTGTGATGGATACGCGATTTTTTGTCATTTGGAGCAACCGCATTTTCTATAGCGATACGAGCGTGAGACAATCGCTTTTTAAATGTTTTTTTGCATCTCGTGATGTTTTCGTGCTTGATTGATATATTTATACTCGATCAGCACGATATTCAGGGACTACCGACGTTACCGACCGTCCGGCGCAACTTGGCAACGCGGCACTGTTTGTGCCGGTTAACATACAATTCTCGGCAGATCCTCATTAGACTCTCGACAGTGCGTTGTTGAAAACGACGAGAACGAAGTGTCATAAATTATCGGGGAAATTCAACGCAGACGAGCTTTTGGAACAAGTCACGGTCAGTGACTTACTGAATTAAAATCGAGACCGAGCAGGACAGAATCGCAGTTAATATCAGTGTATCGCATTAATCAGTAATCGCATTAATCAGTGTATCGAGTGAGTACACTTCTATTTTTTTGCAGCCACCGTCTTAAGGGCTCAAGATTGTCACGAGGAGCTCATTGAATGTGAAAAAATGTAGCTCCTCGTTTTTTCATCTCAAGGCATGGCACGTTACATTTTCCTTTGTGATGAAGTAACCAAAAATCATGGTGTGGTGGACAGCTTCGAAAACAAAGATCCAAGGTAGCACAATTGCTGTAAATTTGAATTATCAGAAATCCATCGTTCCCACGAAATCGAGGGGAAAATTAGCATCTGTTAGCGTTTTCGTTACATTACAAACCATCGTTACGACGACGAAAATAAAGAAACGAATTTGGTTTTGGTAACGTCAACGGACGTGTGTGCATTTAATCTGACCGAATCTTTACCTGCGAATTCTTATTTGTGATTTTGTGGAGATGAATATTCAAAATTGGAAGGAATTGGGCAGGGTTAACCAAAACACTTCCGTCACCGTTACTAAACCGAAATATTTTTGTTCATTTTTGTCATCGTGACGACCAGGGTTGAGAAATTCCCGAAAAATCGGGTTTTTTTACGGTATGAAGTATAAAATAGGTATTATAGCTCTAGATGATGAAAAAAGGTAGAAAACGGTAGAAATTGGTAGAAAACTCCCTAACCTAATTTCATCGCTGATTAGCTTAGAATCGAGTGACATGAATAAATTGAAGAAAGTTAAACTTCACGAGGGTCACCAGGGAGAGTTTAAATTCCACCAGTGTCAAGAGAGTCACAAAGAAGGGGGGGGGGGGGAATTTGACGAGAGTCAAGAAGGTCATCAGGGGGCCGTCAAATTTCACGAGAGTCGAGTGGATCACTAGGGTTATGTTCAATTACACGAAAGCCGAAAGGGCCACTAAAGAGAGGTTAAATTTCACGAGAGTGTAGAGGATCTCGTGAGATATCATGAGGGATAAAGAGAGCCCTTCGTGGGGACCGATGGTAAGTCGAAATTGACGAGATGTCCTCAAAGAGACTTGAATTGAGAACGGAAGCCAAATACTTTACGCGACCCTCTAGACTTTCGTGAAATGGAACTTCCCCCTGGTGACCCCCTTAAATCTTGTGAAATTGAGCCTTTTGAATTTAACCCCTCCTTGGTGACCTTCTTGACGCTCGTTACATTTGACTTCCTCCTGGGGAACCTCTCGACTGTCATGAAATATAACCTCCTGCTATTAAACGTCTCGGCTCTCGAGAAATTTATAATTTTTCTACATTTGCTATAAAATTGTATAAAATCCTGCCGGTATAATACAGGTTATCTACCATGTCTAAGAAGTGGTCCAATACCCCTCGTATTATATCTCCCCAACCCTGGTGACGACGAATCATCACGTAACAAAAACTTCGTATGACTGATTGGTCATATTATGTAACGAAAACGCTATATCACCAATTCATAGTTGTCATAAGTCAACCCTCTATAGGAAAAGTTGGACTACTCGCACTATGGACGGCCAATCCTTATGGAGAAGGCTGAGAGTGGTGGAAACGCCCCTCACGGGAGTGGGTGTGTAACGAAACGCGATTTTTCGGAATTTGAGCTATCTCTTATCAGTCTAGTAACAATATTCAAAGTCGCGCTCGTTCAGCCAACCGGGAGCAATGATACTCACGTTTAGGGTAAATATAACATACGGCTGAATAATACCGAACCATTTTGGATTATGTTTCTCTCGTTACAGAAATTCGAGTACAGGATTGGCCTTATCACCAGGCGCTGGGACTTTGAGATAATTCTGTAATTCCCAATCTATCAAGTCGAAACTCAGGTTGTGATGTTGAATGTTGAGGCGTTGTCAACGTAATCCCAAACGTTTGATGAGAGAAGGGAATCATTCTTGCTTTTACGTCAATTGGTTTCTATTGTGCCGTCAC